GTTAGGGAGTTTCCAGACCCTTCTGGAAAGCAATCTACCTTGTGTGAGGGCAGAAGCCATGTATGTCATGGAGCTGGATTTGCCACCCTCTCCTTCTCCAACAACTAGTGGTATCTTCCTATACTCAGTGCAGAAAACACCTACAAAGCACACCTCTCTGCTACATATCTCAGGGAACTGGTGAAACTGCAAACTACACAAAACTTGAGTGTCACAAAACAAACTGTTCACTGACATCACCTGCAAAGCTCGGTGGCAGTGGGTTACAGAAGAAAATATTTAACCATGGAGAAAGTAGTGCACAGACTGTGACTTTAGGCCCTTTTTTGTGTGCACAACACTTAGAAAGCTCCATGAATCTGCCTTCCCCTGGTGACCCACCTCTGGAGGCTCCCTTGGGGAGGAGGGTGGTGGGTTTTGCCTGGATCCCCATTACTGACCAAAACTCCCGCAGAAAAAGGAGTAAATCACAGAAACCTTCAATGAAAATACCTCAGTTGTTCCTGTGGGTTTGCAGTGGTCAGCATAGAGGTAGAAAAGGCCTCAAAGATGCTAGGTTGAGGTCTGAGAGCTCTGCCAGAGGCTGCTGCAGCAGTGAGCCAAAGAGCAGCACAGTGCTGGGCATTTTGCACTGGCACCGGAGAGAGGAGAATATGTCCCTGTGCTGGTGAATGTTTCAGCCAGACAGGGAATGGGCAGCCCAAAAAGGGCAGGACTGGGACATATCCAAGAAGCAATGAGCCCAGATTGCTACAGCAGGCTGGAAATTTGGCAGTGGTCAGAGCATCATGGTGGCACTGTGTTGGGTGGCCCTCATCCTTTCAGCTCGGCCTAATGCTCTCACAGGCTCAGTGGAGAGTGCCTGTGCAAGTGCAGACTATTTCTGTGTCCAGTATGGAGGAGCTATCACTGCAAAGAGGATTATTTCTAAGTGAGGGAATGTTTAATCATGGATACAAGCCTGTCTGGGCTATGGAAGGCTTTTTTAAAAAAATTATTTTAATAATTTTATTTTGTTGCTTCTTGAAACAGTGGCCTTCAATTTTACCTAATAACTTCACTAATAACCCACTTTCCCAATGCCAGTATAAATAACATAGTTATAAGAGTTCTCTTTCCTATGGAGCAGTTTTTGCTTGCAGAAAAGGTGGGAAGCAGCTTTCCCCCCAGGTTATTTCATTTCAGTTGATATTGCATTATCTGGCATTAACAGATCCATGTTCTTCACTTCATCTTAAGCTGTTGATTAGCGAAGACATACCCTGCTGCCAGAGACCAACAGGACAAAAGTAATGACAGCTCAGCTGGAAAAGGCTGGAAGGGTGATGAGAGGTGCATAAACACATAGCAAAGATGTAGGGAGGGGACCAGATTTTATATTCTCTGTCAGCATACCTGCAACACACACCAGCCTTGCACCTAAAAGCAAAACCAAACCTTTCAGGTTAGTCCTTTTCTCATCTCCAGATTAGGAGTATCTGTTCTTTCCAGCATGAAGCATTTTCAGTGTTTTATTGTAGTACAAAATTAATTCAAAGCTATGCTATTTCGATGTCCTATTATTTTAGATTCAGGTCACATGTTTGAATAAGTGTATTTGACTGACTGGAGATCAAGAATGGACAACCAGACTCAGTTCATCCATGGCTTTTCTACTTTTGAGTCCAGAATTTCTGCCTATAGACAGTGATTTTGTGGGACAGTTATTCCTTTTTGAAGGCATAGCGCAGACTAATGGGCAGTAAAGACCTCTGCAAATGGGATTCTGTTCAAAAGATTGGAAAAAAAGAGCAAAGTCTAAACTCTACTATTATTTTGGACCAAAAATGTGTGTAGCATCAAACCACAAAAGCAGTGATAGATAGGAACCAGGTGGACTCTATTAGTAAGTGAGGAAGGGAAGGAAGCTTTCTTCTTCCTAATAGCTGCCAAGAAACATGCTTGTTTCAGCTCTTGCATGAAATGATAGATGGGAGCTTTGAAGCCCAGATCTCTTTGGTTTTATGCCTTCCCCTTTTGGGACATGGGTGCTGTGGATGTTCATTACTCACATTGGAAACATTTGCCACAGGAAGCTCCTGGAACAGAGTTTGGAAAGCTATGAAAGCCCTAATGTCAGCTGAAAACACCAGTCCTGTCCCAGCACTTGCTGAATCAAATTATTAAGTGCCAAGATAAATTAATGTTTGTCTCTTAGTCATTCCCAACTTTACAGAATCCAGGGGTTTCAAACTCCCTTCCTACCAGGAAAATCCTCTCTACTTGAAAAAGAACCCCAATTTTGATGGCAGCAGCTTCCAAAATCTGGAACTGTGTTTTCCAAAGTCTTGTTTCACTCTCCAGCAAATTCCTTTCCACCTCTGTTTGCCCAGGGAAATAACCAGAATATCTGCATTTTTAAAAAATCAGCATTTTCGGTAGTCATAAAGCATAGGCAAGACTATTTAGTTAATTGGTATTTATACACTGAAGCAAGGCTCAAGAGCTAATCTATGAAGTGTTTTCTATCAATAACTGGCTTGAGAATCTCAGATTTCACTGAAACTGAATTAAGATTCCTGCCATTAAATCTTCAACATGGGGGCAATAAATACAACAAAAGCATGAGGCAAGGAGATGCAGCTCTGTCTGGCAAGACTCTGGGTTCAGATAACCAGGAGCCATCCCTGCTCCTGGGGCTGTTGCTGAGACAACTCTGTCATGTTTATGACATTGAGCCCTCAGGTTTCCGCTCCTATGCCAGATTTGGCTGGTGGAGGAGAAAAAACCCTTGGCTGCCTTTGGTTCCAGTAGCCCTGAGCACTGTCCCCATGCTGGCTCAGCCCAGACCCCATATGTCTGTGGGGGTGGGCATTGCCTTTTCGGGGGAGTGGTGCAGTCACACACTCCTCTCTGTGGGCTGTTGAATAGGAAATTACCAATTAGGTAATATCCACCAATTACCAATAGGTGGATAGAGGCCAACACTGGTACTCTTTGCCTTTGTGACACAAGCAGACATACCCTGACTGTGAAGTGTTCATCCCTCTCCCCTCGTCTCAAGCCAGTGCCTCCTCCTGTGATTTAACTTGTCCTGCTGTTCCCCACAGAAGGAATCAGAATATGTAACAGATAGTGGTTTCTCACCATCTTTCAAGCACTCTCTCACCATCATTCAGCAACCATCAACTGCACATCCCTTCCAGCATCTACAGGGGTCTGAATGAGCAATGTGCACATATCTGTCTGCTGGGCTCATTTTCCATTTTGACAGGAGAACCATAGCCTCTTTCAAATTCACTGTTGTTTGAGCCCTATTCTCCTCACTTGAAGTCAAACACAGGGTTTCCTGTGATTTCACAAGGATTGAGATTAGGTGTAGTTTCTGCAGATGCTCCACAGCTCATCCCCATCTCAGTAACATGCCAGGGAGTGCAGACAGATGGGGTGGGTGTCCCTCGCAGCTGCATTGAGGCATTTTAGCAGACAAAACTCATTCATTTTTCTAGCAGTGTCCATGGAGTTATGCTTTGCTGCCCATACCAGCTTAAGGCTTTCTACATTATTGAATAAGTTAACACCTCATATCACTAGTGGGTCTTGGCCTTCCCGTTGGTCACATCCTGTTTGTTCCCAGGATGTCTTTCGGAGTGCACTGTTTCCCTCCTCAAGACTAAGCCTGGGTAATATTTCTGGATCACTTGCCTTCTCTAGGGATGAAGCACTCACCCACATCCCAACAGGCTCCTGGTACTCCCAGTTCCCTTGCATCCCCCCGAGCATGTAACTTCAGCCTCATGCTCTAAAAATACCCACTGTAGCACCCTGCACCATGACCCTCACATTTATCAGGCAGATGAACAGGAAGAAAAAATATAAAAACAAAAAAAGAAATAAAAGAGGGATACTTTAGGGCCACAGAGCACTCCAGAGGACACAGAGGAGCCTCAGACAAAAGCTAAGCAGGGGAGTCAGCATTGAATAACTTGAGTATGAGCCAGTCCATCACATTGCATGGTCAGAGATCATTTCTGGGACTGATGGCTTCAGCAATGTTGCTGTAGCCATGTACTGGTGCAGAGTTTCTCACTGCCTGAGGAGTTAATTGCTCTTGGGAAGGTTGGGTGTGCATGTGAATGTGTAAGCAGAACTGCATCCTGCGGTTGTGGCTTTCTAGAGAACATTGGTGGATGGTTCAAAAACTAAAATAAGGATATTATTATTATACATACATAATTTGATTCTTTTAGTCTGAAATAAGCCCCTGGTAAATTTATATTTACCTGGCAGCAAAATATAAAACTTGGTTTGGCAATTGCATTTAGGAAAACATTAGGAACTCAAGGGAAAAAATATTGCCTGGCTGAGTATGTTGAACTAATGCTGAGAAATGGGGCCCTGTGAATCTGAATTCAACCCAGTTTTTCAAAGCTACTTACCCAGTCTCCTTCCAGTGTTGGCCAACTGACAGAAATTCAATATTTTTCTTCTAGTGAATGAAAAGCGTAGTCAGAAACAGCCATTGGGTCAGGATCATATGCAAAAGCTCCTCTTGTGCTTTTGTTTCCTAATTGCTTTTGGAAGGATTTTTCGGACTGGGCTGACGCAGTTGTGTGTGTGAATTTCCTGGCAAATAAGAAAGGTGACTGTGTCCAAAAGACATTTAAGAGTGTGAATTCACAGCCTTTCCATGTCTAATCAAGGAGCGTAAACCATTAGCCACATGTTCTCCATTTCCATCACATTTTTTCACACTTAAACAAAAACATGCCAAAGGAAAGGTGCTACATTTTTTAATGCCCCCAAATAGGAACCACAGGAGTCCATTAAATGCTGTGGTCATTTCCAGCATACAAATCAATTTTCCTTGTGGTGGTGAAGTGGTGAATAATGCCTGGTTTGTTTAAAGGAGCATGACTGATTTTGGATGAAGGATCCTGTCACTTTGGCATTTTTAGTTTTATTTATTGCATGCAACCGTATAAAACCTGGTACTGGTCTCAGTGCCAGGCTTACTAGTGGAAAAGCTGAAAGGACCACATAACTCCTGGTGCAGGAAAGAGGTTCTTCTGCAAGACATTTGCTGGACTCCTGAAAAATTATTTTGAATAACATGGCAGAGAAGGATTTCATCAGTTGGCATCTACTGGCTTTATTTTTTCTTCCATTTTGCCTGTGTCAAGATGAATACATGGAGGTGAGCAGAAGATCTTATAAACCAGTGGCCAAAATATTGCAAAGTCACCACCAGACTGGTCATAAAGGTTCCAGAAGCAGGGAAATATTGAAACAGCGGAATCAACTTATAGAGTGGACTGTTGATAATAGCACTTCTACAGACCAAAAAGTCCTGAGACCAGAGGTAGATGATGTAGAACTGACTACCTCAGATAGAGTCCAGGTACTCTGAATTAATCTTCTAAAGATATCTTTAAAGCTAATGAGATATTATTTTTTTTTTGTAATATTATTAGTGATATATTTATGAAATAGTTGTTATTAAAGCTGTGTATTGGTCTGTATCCTGCTGGGTTGCTTTATAGGATCTTTTAATTAGCTGGTAGAACCAGCAGTGGTTGGGGACACTGGTTTCAACATAGACAGAAACTCTTTGTTCTGATGAAAATGTGAAATCATATATTCTGATATATAGTCTCTTAATTATCCCAAGGTATTACTTATTTAAAATATTAAAGTTTTAGAATTTTCTAACTCATAGGGATGTGACAGAAAATTACAGAGTTCTAGAGGTATTTGGAAAGATTCAATTAGCAGACAATAACTTTACTTGAAAATGACATATGTAAAGTATATTTTTTGAGCTTGAGAGAAACATAATGAAATTCTGAGTGTTCAAAAATTTTATTCTAAGGAGTAGCTTGAAAAAAACAGGTACTAATGGAATGAATAGATTTAATAATGTATATCAACTTGAGAGAGTTTCAGAAGAAAAAGACTCACAGTGAAAGTCTAATCATCTGCAGTATCTGCCTTTTAAACTGGGAATCTTTTTATGCCTTTCATGCCACTTTAGATACTGTCATCATTAGCTTACATCAAAGGGAAAATGTTATAACTTGATTATATATAAAATATTGCAGTACAAATTTAAAAGAAAAAAATCTGAAGGGCAGAAGATGAAGTTTTTCTAGCACTAGGCAAAACAAAATTGCACTCGAAGCTTTTTTCTTACCAATGTTTTTTAGAAACAGTAAGAACATGAGTGTTTTATTCCTCTAGCTGATAAAAACATTTCAGTCCTGAAACATTCCAGTTCAACTTTTATCACTGGGGTTTTTTAAAACTCTCAGATCAAACTATGATATTTTGAATTGCCAAAATCAAGGACATGCAGACAAGTGTTGAATAATAATCTGCATCATGATAAGCAAAGAAGAGATTTGATTTTAATTTTGTCCTAGGCATGAAGAACTGAAACACATCCAAATATAGGAATAGGTTTAATACACCACTGTATTCCCTGTATTTAAATTTTATAGTGCCTTGCATTTTGTACTTCTTGGGCAGGAGCTAAATGTTCCTCCAGTGCATTCAGCAAAGCAGATATTTTAACTGTAAGCATGTTATATTGTGCTTGCAGTATATAAACAGTGTAAAACATCAGGTGCACAGTCCAAAGAGCCAACTAGTATGTGCAGTTCTCTCTACAGCTGCTTTCTACATACTATATACTATTGACATCTAAAAAGACTCCCTTTTAAATCAACATAAGTTCAGATTTAATACATAATTTCAGGATTTAATACAAAATTATAACTTTATAGGGGTCAAACTCTCCCTCACAGAAAGTGTCACTGTGTTTGGGATGCATGTGTCTCTCGTCAGAGGGTTTAATGCAGTATGTTTGGAGTTGTCTGCTGGGGGAAGAGGCTCTGACATTAAAAATGAGCCCAGTGAGTCTGAGTACAGCTGATGGCAGTCACTTACCTGCCAGGCCCTCTCTAAGAAGAATTCTTTTTTTGGGAAATGATGCAATTTTTGGCTTGCTGGAATGAAATAGAGCACTAACAGATGCATGACAGGGATAATCAATTACAGAGTGGCTTACGTAATAGGTGTTTTCCAGTTCCAGACTCCAGGAATTTCTAGGCAGATTAAAAACAAAGGTGGCACTGACATGTTTTAATTCATGTCAAACCTGTCTCTTCCCCTTGAGCTATGTGGAAACTGTTCAATCCTTAAGTTCCTACTTTCATGGTTGTTTTAGGTGGAGTTGCTTTACCCAGCTAGAGAGAATTTAGGCTGGAGAATTTTACCCTCTTGTTAAAGTGTTTTAAAGGCCCCATTTTTTGTTGTGGAACAGAGACAATAGCATTTGTCTTTGCAGTTATCTTTGCTGCACTGGGTATAGGGCCAGTTTCCACACTGCTGTTTACTTATGTGAAATATAATGTGCATTTCTCAAGCACAAGAACTCTTAGTGACTATGGGGAGCCATGACAGACCATTTTTCCTTTTCAGGTTGTTCTTTCAAAATCTCTAGATATTCTTCATCCAAGTAGTGTTTTACCCTGAATTTTGGCAACTTTTGTTTGTTTCTTTGCTTAGAGAGGATGCATGGAGGGTGCTAGTGCCCACAGAGGCACACTATTTTACAGAACAGGAGCCAAGAATTGTTTAGGTGCATTACTCCTTTTCTGAATTGCCTTAGACCATAAAATAGAAACTCACAAAATTAATCACGAAGTTAAAAAGGACTGGGTCTCCAATTATGATTTGTTCACAGTTTTAAATTGAGAGGATTTTATAGACCATCTGTTGCCTAGAAATTTCTCCTACATACTAAATCACAGGAAATTTAGCATATAACCTCAGAAATATTTCCAGTTTTCTATCTGTATTAGGATATCAATGTGGCAGATGCATTTCACAAGCTCCTAAATCATATTTATGTTCTGAGAGTAAAGCCAAAGATTCACTGTGTGATAAAATTTATGCACAAATGGCTACACAGAATGCCTTTGGCAAGTAGATTGTAATTAATCTCTGTGTCACATTTGAGTGTAATTTTACTTTAGGAACACATTTTTCCTTTAAATATACTCTTCATGAAGTTCTCTGTTTTTAGAGATCAAAAGAGTATCCTGAATATTCATTATACTTGGCAGTTGATTGTGAACATTTTTTCCTCTTAGTGAAAAGATCAGTAAAGACAATGAGTTAATATTACTTCATGACTTGCATAAGTAGTTATTTTGAAGTCAGTGGAACTATTTGCATACAAACAGACTGGCAGGACTTGCCTCATTTCACATGTAAAAACCTGCTGAGTTTTTTTCAAGGTAATGCCAAACAGCACTTGTTTATGACTGGCACTAGTTCATTTTTTATGATAACACAGCTGGTTAGCTAATAATGTTGTTTAGGATTTCAGTGCATTGTGTGATAAAGACAAATCACACCTGGAGGCAGACTTAAGAGAGTCTCGCATGCAGTCCACTTTGCTGGATTCATGTCTTCCCTTACCAAAAATCCACAGTTCCAAGTTTTTGGATATCTCTAGGCTGGTATGACTTATTTGCTCTTGGTAGGTGTGTATACAGTTTGCCTTCCCATTTAACATGAATATGAACTACTATCTAAAAAGAACCGGATATTTTAATCTCAGTGCAACAATTGTCATTATTTTAGGGGGTACAAAATGCTTGCACAATTCCAGTCCTCCTATACTTGTCTCCCTTTTAAGGACTGAAAACGAGCTGAAAAGTAGGCCTACTTCTTCTCTCATAGTAGGAAAATTATAAACAGTATACTGGGTGATTGTCAGTTATGTTCTTCCTAACAACTAGGAGACACAAAACAGCAAGAAACATACAAAGAGTTTCTCTGGGAACAGACAGTGCAAGAGTCATTTTTCTCAGAAAATATGGACCTTGTCCAGAATTAAGCTAAAAAGCATAGCTTTGACCAAACCCATAAATATGAAGCTCTTCTGCCCATTGGCAAGTCTTAACATTTCCATAACTCTCTGAATATGAAGGATACTTGTTTAGCTGTCAAGTCAGCCTTTATTCCCATGGTAACTCCACCATCGTTGGTTCCAGCTGGAGAGAGCATATATATGTCCCAGTGGAGGAGTTGCAGTATTTTGGTTGTGGTATGAAAGGTGTTTTCTGAATCCATAAACTCCAAAGCCTCCTGAAATTAATGAATTCTGGGAGTGTGCTTGCTATCGTTCAAAACGCAGGCAGAAAGCTTTAGTGTTTCAGATGAAGTCAGCTGATGACACTGAGGGTAGAAATAAGCATATCTGTGTGTTCATTTGATAGCTCCCATCCCACCAGAGGCTCATTTGCTGCCATTAAACCAGTAAGTCTGCATTAAGAAAGTAATTTATCAGTGCTAAAGATGAGGGGAAAGAAAGAGGAGGAAGACAAATAGTACAATTATTAGAGAAAAGTAGAGGTTGGATTGGTGTAATTATCCCTCTCTAGATTTTAAGAACTGCATCTCAGGATATCAGCAAAGAATTATAGGGGCAAAGAAACAAAGAGGGACAAATAAGGAAGAGGTAGAGAAATAAAATCAAACCCTGCACCTCTGCCTCAGCTGACCCACTGGAAGATTTGTGGTGACTAAGCCTAGTTATGAAATCCAGTCAGAATTGAATGAGACTCCATTAGTATAAATACAATAATATGAAAAAGAAAAACACTTAAACAAGTCTATTATTAAGCTATTACTACAGTAGCTGAGCTGCATATAATAAACTCATTCATTTATTTATGCTGCTATATTAGTTTCAGCATGCAAATAGGTTTTCATAGTTACACAGTCACCACTACAAATAATCAGAAGCCCCTAACACCATGTAAGTTCAAATTTTTTTTTTTGTACCTTGGCAATTTTTTAGGTTCTCCTAACTTTAATAGCCCATAAATATGCAGGTCTGGGATCATGAATAGGAATATGCTGCACAGCCTTTTTTTAATATATCCTGTGGGTATATAAGCTTGTTTGTCATCAGAGGTCAGTTGAAATGTGGGATCAGGATGGGAATCTCACTGAAATATGCATCAAAATTTCATTACTTGGTATCATTTTATTTTCTAAACCCTCATTAATTGACAGGATAAGCTGGTGTTTTTTTAATATTCATATAGCTCTTAGAACACTTTAAGAGCTATTCCCTTAAAACTTCCAAAAATAACACCTTCAGGGACAACCCAAGCATGTGAGATTTCAGCACAGATAAGAAATATTTTGAAAACTTACCAAATATATAAACAGAGAATATATAATGAAGACCCTGTAACCAACATGCATAAGACTGATGTCCTCCATGAATGAGCTACTTAAAGCTTATTTTTGTGCACTTAGCCCCCCCAGCCTGGACCACAGAATTCAGACTGTAGTTCCTGCTGCCGTGGTGACTTCGGAGTTCGACTCTATCAAGGGCCCCCAGGACCTCCTGGGCCCCCTGGGATGCCAGGTAAAGATGAAATTTAATTAATTTTTTGATTAGTCTAATTTCAGGCTATAAATTCCAAGCTATTCTATGAAATATCAAAGAGTGGCCCAAATATCAGTATTTGGGGATAGATTCAGCAACAAGTTTTTCTATAATTTCTGGGTAGACATATATTTTCAGTTATATTCTAAAGTATTTTCCACTGAAAACCTGTTTGTTATTAAAATTCAGCTTTCACAAATTCATACTGAAAGTAATCTTATTACATTTCTGGGGTAAATTAGTCTCTCTTCTTAAAGCAGAATGAAAATTCCATTAAAGTTGGAAGAACTTGTTCCCTGGAGTTGATTATTGCGATCACCTTTGTATTTCCAGCTGTGTTACTGTGTACTGTATTCAAGAGATTTTCTTCATCTAGCATACTGCTAGCCAGTATTTTACAGAGACACATATACTTTTATTCTCTCATAAAAATTCCTTAATTTCCTTCTTTCATCTTGTCTTCCATAATAAATGCTACCTTTTTTTTATTCCCATTAAAAATGCACAGAGAAGAACAGGATACACAAGAAAAGTGTGTACTTTGATCTGATAAATGGTATGGAAATAGAAGAGCCTAGAGAAGGGAAAAAGTGAGTTGCATGTTGCTGTAACTTTGTTATGGCAGCTACCTTCAGGGATTTGAAAATCACCATTCCTAAAGCAGATGAGTAACATAAATGAACACATCACTGACCAACAGACTCATCTCATCTTCAAAAGCTTACATCTTCTGTTATCACAGTAAAAATGAAATTCAGTGACCCATTACTCATTAATAAATTGTTGGCTTCTTAGGAGCAGGACACGATTTTATACTAGACCCACACTTCTGAGGCTGCAGTGGACATGCTGGGACACAGCCTAGTCCTCTTCTCATGTATCCAAGTCCCACTTTCTTGTCACCACAGGATGCCACAAACAAATGGCTGGCAGCAACCTTCTGTACCCTGTAATTTCTCTGTCTCCTTCATCTGCTGGATTTCATATTGTTGTGCCTGTAAGGGGAACAACGGCAGTTGCTTTTCCCTTTGATTGAATCCAGTGCTGCTTGCAGACTTCTGTTCTGAACTGGTAGAAAAGTAGTTCTGGCTTTACATAAAGATCATTCTTGTTATTTTTAAGAGTTAAAGATTCCTCTATCCAAACAAAAATTTATATTTCTTTCGCCATTTATCTTCCTCGTTTGATGTAATTTTTTTCTCAATACAAAAAATCTGAAGAATCACTTTATCATCAGATGTGATCTCAAACAACACTATTCTTCTTGGAAATTTGTAACCAGAGAGAATAATCAAAGGAGAAGCAGAGTTACAGAGCACCTAACTTCAGTTCAGGTAGAATTAGAATAATGATGATATTAATTAATCCCCTGAGTTGAAAGATCAGGCTTTTGCTGCAGGAGGCATAATAATTGCTTAGTAATTCTAGCCAGTTTTAAAATTCTGTCAGTTGCACAGACATTTGCTCAGTAATTTCCTCAGTAAACATCAGGGAGTAAGTAATACTGCAGAAGCAGGAATATACTTTATAATGAGTCTTTTTACAATAAGCCATCTCAGAAAAGCTTAATAATAAAAATTCAGTCTCTCTTTAAATCTAGAAACATGCAGTCATCAACCCCTTCAAGCACCCAGTAGTCTGAGAATGCACACTCTCCTGTTTTTGGCACAGATGGGTCATAGAGCTAGTTAATGCTACAGCCACTCTTCATTTGTGTGGATGTGTTTTAAATACAGTAAAATGTTATTCAATGTTATCTTATCCTACCATGATTAACTTAAATTACCAGGAAGTAAGTTTTTACACCAAAGGATAGCAAGAGAGCTTTTGCAGGCTACCTAGCATGTGTCAACAGGCAGTGGCTTTCCCTTTCCTTGAGCCCCACATCTGCTGAGATCTTCTTGAACTTCTCAGCAAAGCAACGACTTGAGACAACGGCAGGTTATACAGCAACACCAAGACAGCATGAAGGTTAACTCTTAAATATCAGTCTATGTCCTTCTGGAAACTTGCTCACCAAAACCTTCACCTTCAGTTTAAGCACGCAGCGCTTTCTTATCCATCACAGCCCAGTCTGTGGTTTATGGTACTGAAGATTAGATGTGTTGCAAACGGATGGAAGAGGACCTCGTCACACTTATCTGTTAAAATACATTACATGATTTAAGTTAAACAGAAGCTTTGCTTCCTTTCAGGAAATCATGGAAACAACGGAAATAATGGAGCAACTGGCCAGGAAGGAGCCAAAGGTGAGAAAGGAGACAAAGGAGATATGGGACCAAGGGGAGAACGTGGCCATCATGGACCCAAAGGAGAGAAGGGTTATCCTGGGATTCCCCCAGAGCTACAGGTACAAATTCTCTGGTTCATGTTGGCTATAGCAAATCTCAAGTTATGGTTTCCTTCATGGAAAAACAGCACCTTACTACTGTAAAATAATTAAGAAGTAAATCCCCCTGTAAATGAATACTGTAAGAGGTGTATATAGCCCTTGTCCTGACAGACAAATGTACTCTGCCAGATCTTCCTGGAAAACAAAGGGTTAAGTCTTTCTTTAGAGTTAGAATTCAGCTGAGAAATGGGCAGGAAGAAACACATATGCTTCTCTTTGAGGGCAAAAAGCCAGTATCTAAGTTATTAAAGGAGAATTGCTGGGACTATCATTTTTCTACCAAGCTGTATCACATAATAACTGTGCTTCCTACAGCATATGAAAAGAGTAAAGGAGTCACTCACGCTTCTCAGGACAGTCAGGCTTTGTGAGATTCTCAGAAGCAAGTGTATCCAGTTCCTCAAAGTATGGTCTCAAACCTTTGAGTGCAGAGTCCTCTAGTTTTAAAAAATTCCCCTTGGTAGATTTTTGTATATGTATATCTCTAGATATATTTGTTCTGTAACAAATGTGGATAGAGCCTTCCCAAATCTTCATTCGTGAAGCCCAGCCATGATATCTCTAGATACCTTAAATGTGTTGGGGGCCTTGTAGGTTCTGCCTATGAATGAACCCAAAAGCCAGATGAGCAGGGTTCAAGCTTGAGCTGTTGAGCTCAAGACTGTGTTGGCATTATCTCACAGTTTTTGCATTAGAGCTTCTTCATATCCCAGGAATCTGGCAGATGGCAGAGAGCTTGTATGTGTGTATATACACACTTACACACACACACACACATATATATATATATACATGAAGCACAGTAGAGACACGTTGTAGTCCTGTTCTTAAAACAACAAAAAGTACATGGCATTTGGATAGCTTAAGACCCCTGGTTGCTGTTGCAAAGGGGATATAAATGAGTTGCCCCCACTGTATATCACTGTGTAGCAATATACGAGCAGTTCATCTGCAATAGCAGGAAGACTTGACTGCCTTTATGACATAGTGCAGCTAGGGTGCTAAAGGCAAGATTTAGATGCATGGGGCAAGCCACTGAGATACATCCCTCCTGGTCTCCACCTTCCACAATGGAGGGAATTCCTGAAGGTCACATCAGCTGGTGTGGGGAATCCCGAAACACTTCAGAAGGCACCAGGTGCATTTGTGTGGGAAAATGATGGCAGTCAGATTCATCTCCAGACAGCCCACATGTGAGAGAAGCATCTAAGCTTCCATTATAATTTCTTAGGATCTTGAATAGCAACTCGGCTAAATCTGACAGTCACTACTGCTCTTGGGCAAATGACACTTCAGAAACCAGAGAGTATATAGATCTCCAAAAACTATAAGGGAGGTTACATCCTCCCTCATACAAACACTCTTAAGTGGAATCATCTTAGCCTTGACCTGATTTGTAGCCCCCAAACCAAATCCACCACAGAAGGGGCAAAATGGGATAAAGCACACATGCACAATGATAAATAGCACTTCAAACCCTCTGATGTTCTGACCTGTTTCCACATATACCCCTCTTAACTGAAGAACCTTGTTTGCCAATAACAGTCATTCATATATATTTTACACCCTCATAAAAGGCATGAAAATTAACAGTAAAATCAACAGTACAACCAACAGGTGCAGTGTGGAAAAATTACTCTGGATTTCTTGGAATTGTGTATGTTTGAATTCCCCACCCTGAAGGGGTGCATGAAGATGGGATAATTGCACAGAATACAACTCAGAATGAAAACAGTTTCAAAAATGGATGGACTTTTGTAATAAAGTAGAATTATTTTAGTAATCTTAAAGAATGAGCTAGAATTCATGATATAGCTGAATATCTTGAAAACATAATTCCATTCAACACATATCCTTTTGCAATTTTAAAATGAACTATCACTGTTTTTTCTTACATAAAGATAAGAGTAGTAATTTAATTAAAACTGAAAAATGAAAGGGAATGAATTAAAAAAAGCTCATATTTTAATACTGTGGTAGTTTGGTCTAGGCCTTCTTTGGTGACCAGTTTGTAGACAAGGAAGGGCCGAGATTTACCCACTATTCCCTACGATTTTTACATAAGCCAGACTATAAGAAGAAAGGAGGAAAGGCCTTCGCTCTCTTTCCTTCTGGTGGCTTGGAGGTGCAGGTTCCCTGCTGTTGAGTCTGCAATGTTGGGGAGTGAGGCCTGGTAAGGCCTTGGCGACCTTGGGAGACGGAGGTTGCCCGCGATCGTTCCAGAGCGACTCTCAGTTGTCCCAAGGAGAGTAGTGAGGTATTTCTTTGCTAACTCTTTTAGTTGCTAGATACTGGGCTACTAATCAGGATATATATGTATTTTATTTTGGTTTCATTCCTTTTTTTCCCTTCTCCCTTCCCTTTCCCTTGTGAAATTGTATATATATTTCAATTGTATATAACTGTAACATAAGTGCAAATATATTTATATGTATATTGCTATAGCTGTCTCTCTCGTTTTGGTTTTTTCTTGGTTGTTTTTCTCCCTCTTCTCCCTGAGGTTTGGCAGGGGGGGGACTTCTTGTGGTAAGGTTTGGAGACTTGGTAGGGAGCCAGCTTCAAAACATATCAAATACCTATTTCCAAATAAAATGCCATCACTGCTTTTAAAAGATGTGTTTAAAAATTCTTATGGCATAGCATATAATTTCTTGTTAGCATCATGCTTAACAATTTTACAGTTGGGGTAGGTATAGGAGAAAACACTTTTGAATACAATACTGTTTTAAGTACAGGATTATTTTGGAAAACTTGGTGTATCCCTGTTGACCTGTTACTTCTAGATGAGACCTAGGAAGAAAGGACATCTTTTTCAGCTCTTCTGATGAGCCCAAGGAAAGCAACTTAGGGTCAAAGAGACTGTGAAATGGAATCTAGACAAAAAGCAACAAATACCATCAAGCTGTCACTGCAGCTGCTTTCCTTTAACACATGATGAACTTTGATGTGATCCTGGCTGAGAAGCAAGAAGTTAACAATTTGCCATCATAGAAAATGCATCCATGCAGGGATAAGGAAAATCAGCCCAAGCCTTCAGCTCACATCTGGAGCTCCTCAGATTTCTGAACAGATGGCTAATGATTTCCGTTGTTGGATCCAGACTTGAATTTGATTGTCTGTTTTGGTTTTGTTCTCATTGGATCTGAAATCAAAAGAAGTTTGTGATAGTTTTTTATCCTTTAAATACCAGTGTAACTGGAATGACACCAAAAAATGTCATTTTTGTGATGGGCTGTAACAACTGCAGGTGAATACTTGTCATGTAAAATGTTGAGATAGAAATAAATAGACAAGTCTTTATGTGACCTTCTGGCAACAAAGTTCAGCAATTCTGCCTGTACCCTATTTACTGACAGTCAGATGAGGGGGGATCGTACACTCACAGAAAAGATCACCCCTGTCCCTGACCATGCAAGCTGGCAGGATCATTCCCTGGTATCTTGCTGAAGGTAATTTGAGTTGTCCAATGTGGACATTTTGCACTGCTTCCTATGAAACATTTTTGATGACAAGAAGTAAAATGTGAAGTTGAAACACAGTTCACACTTTCTTAGTTTCCTCTTTTGTCTCCACCACTCTCTGTTTTCATGACTGAGGACAACTGATAAGAGATAACAAACACTGTGAATGTTGAGTCTTAGCAGCTGCACTTCTAGAGAACCACTAATAAAACTGCTTAATGCATCTCTAAGGTAGTTAGAGCTAAGAAACACAAATCTGTATGTACTTTACCAAATATCATTTATTTTCACACATTCAATTAAAGCAATATGCAGTGTAAATGCACTGCAGAATTTATAAAAACTATATAAAACACTTCTGTCAGAAACACCATCCATTTTGACACCATTTTTCTGTTGCATCATCCTACAGAGACTTAAAAGTAGATAAAATCTGAAGTGAAGGTTCAGAACTGCAAAAACTTGAACATGCACCTACTTTACAGTCATGAATAGTCCAATTGAATGTAAGAAGCCCAGACTCTTCCAGGTTCATTCAATGGGAGTTTTGTTACTGGAGTTTATTGGCCTTGGAGCAAGCCCTAGAAGAACATCTCTGTCAGGAAAATAAACAGACTGCAAATACAGGGGAAAAAAATCTGCAGTTGATTGCTCTACACATGTGCTTTTCATGAACGATTGCCTGAATAAGAACTGGATTTTTGCAGGTCGCATTCATGGCTTCGATGGCTACTCACTTCAGCAACCAGAACAGTGGGATCATCTTCAGTAGCGTTGAAACCAACGTTGGGAATTTTTTTGATGTCATGACTGGGAGATTTGGTGCTCCAGTGAATGGTAAGCATTTTCAAAACAAAATAATGCAATTCTTGGAGCTGTAGGGAATAATGATGAGACACTGTTGAACTGCCTTTGCACAAGGCACTGATGAGATTTGCTCTGCATAGCTTTTGCTACCTACTTTCGACAAAAATTAATTGAAAACTGAGCACGGCAAGAGAGATCTTGCCAGCCAGTGAGACTAGTGCTGGCACAAAGGCAGGAGGAAGAGGCATGGCCAAGGCTGGGGAGGGAGCAGGACTTTGCTGTAGCCTTCAGCCACTGTGATGAGAGAACCACAGGCTCGACGTTGTAGCAGCAGCAGTTTCATAGTAGCCTCCTCTGCCTTCTGCCTCCAGTAACTCTCTTCATCCCCATCTTCCCCCAGTTCAGCTGTGAGCTGACCTGCAACAGATGTGTGGCTGGAAATGAGGCATTGCAATTCTTCCCGGGTTATTTTTCAGCTGCATCTATCCCCCATCTTATGCAGCTGTGGTGTGGGAAGAACAACCCCTGCAATATGCAGAACTAAAATTAAGCAGATTTTGGAATGCTATAAGCAGAAGTAAAATACCCACTTATAACTGGAAGGCAGTTTTGTCCTCAGCTGTTATGTTTTCTAAGCAAGAAGCATAAATCTGCAGCATGATTACCCCCCTCTATGAAGCAAACATGTTGTATTTGGAAATCTTTTCAGGAGTGTATTTCTTCACATTCAATATGATGAAACATGAAGATGTGGAGGAAGTGTACGTGTACCTGATGCATAATGGTAATACAGTGTTCAGCTTATATAGGTAAGTGAAGGGCCAGACCATTTTAATGCAAAAAACTTGTTTCTACAAAAGTGATAGCTTGCTCGCATTTCAAGAAATGTGAAATTGCTAATTTTTTGAAGAAATTCACTAGGGTAAAATAATCAATAAGAAGAACTATTTTATTTTGCCCTCCTCAGCTTGAAAATTTGGAGCATAGACACCACAGATTCTGGACCTAAAATTAAGCCTTCATGACAAATTTCTCAAACTCCAGGAAAAGGAATTAGCCCTCCAAGTCAGGGTTGGAGTAATGTGCTGTAATTCTGCTAATATATATCTTCATCCTTATTTTGCCTGTCAGATATAGGAAATAACAAGGTGTTCAGCAACTAGTTACAGTCTTGTTAGAGATGAGGGGAGAGCAATTTACTTTTAAGTTGAAAAGTGTTTAAATTGCAGTAGTAAGGATGAGTAAGAAGCAAAGGTCTTCCATTTACTGGCTTTATCATTAGCACACCACCAAAGGCTGCTTCATTCCTGATAGATCTTTCCTGAAAAAGTGCTCTATTTTTTTTTGCCCTGAAGCACTGATGTCAGAAAAGGCAACAGGTGGAAGCAAGGGAACCAACAATCATGCAAAGCCAGGAGGTTAGCCCACATCAAACGTATCTATGTTCCAAGGAAAGGCCTCAGGATGGAGTGAGCTGCCTGTCTCTGCCCACTGACTGTGCTGGGAGCACAGGGGCTCAGCTCACATCAGACTCCTGACCTGGAGGCATTTAAAATTAGCTGGGATGACTTCAAGGGAAAAGAAACATCACAGGAAATATGTAGTGTTGTGATGAATGAGCAGAGTTTTATCTTAAACAAAAAATTTGTTCCTGTGCCTTGGAAAAAGTTAAAATTCCAAAACTTCAGAAAGGAATGAAATGATGCAATTAGGTAAGGTGCAATATTTGACTAGGAGATCAAATGCAGAAAGTTGCCCAAATATCCTTATAAAGCTGAAAAAACGTTGGCAGCTTTTCAAGGAAGTTTTGCTCAGGATAACAATGTACTTTCTTGGATTTTTTTTTTTTGTTTGTTTGCTTGATCATTGTTGGGAAACAAAATGGTGATTTACGTAAAATATTCATCCACAGCTACGAATCCAAAGGGAAAGCAGATACTTCAGGAAACAGTGCAGTCCTAAAACTCGCGAAGGGAGATGAAGTTTGGCTGCGAATGGGAAATGGAGCCCTCCACGGGGACCATCAACGCTTCTCCACCTTTGCTGGGTTTCTTCTTTTTGAAACCAAGTAAAAGAAGAAACTATCCAACAGATGTTTATCTGAGGAAACATCTTTTTTGGAACTGGTATTTTTCACTGGGCTGTGTAATAACATTACAACATTGGAGGATCAAGAAGACTTGTCTTGATGCAATGTGTTGCTATTTGTGTATCAGAGATGAGCTGAATACATTGTGTAACTGACACAGAGTCACATGTATTGTCATGTGTATTGTCGTTTGGGTTGCACCTATTGAATCCTTAAATGTTGCTACTCCTCTTTTTCCCGAAGTGAATGAAAAACAAAGGAAATGAGTTTAAGTAATTTAGAGAGCAGTTTACCCAGTAAAGTCAATTTTGTCTGTAAATATTCTTTAGTTAAGTATATGTCAGGAACTGAACACTTGATTCAAGTTTTTCTAATCATTTATTCAGTTCCTATTACATGTTCATTAAAGTTTGCATCATGGAAACAGGCCTGAATGTATTATAAGCAGGCTCAGTTGAGACCAGATCTAAAGGAGTAAGTTTGTACTGGATTAGAATGAGCTCCTCAAATAGAAGAAAAAAATGTGAAAATAAAGATGTCAATGATTCAGGTTTATTGCATTTCCATCTCAAACCTCTGATGATGTATCTGGTGTCATTTTTCACAGATTTTTAGCACATATTTATGCTTACTCTCTCTTTTAATGGAAGAGTGTTAGTAGTTCTTGCCTTAGTAGCAGCTTGAAGGTAAGGTAATATAGTCTGCAGTGTGATGGGGATCAGGCAGGGGAACTGTAATGTTTCTTCCTAGCCTTAAAACTTTTCAAATCTGATGTAACTGAAGGCAGGGTGTCAAAGCAGAGGTATATACGCTAGAGAAACCAGGATACGCCAACAGCACAAACAGAGAACCACAAGCTTTGTGGTGTTTGGAGCTCTTTTAGAAGGATGTACCTTACAATATTGTATATTTACTTAACAGTGAAGTTGTCGATACAGTTTTCCTAGCAGCTTTCCAAGAACCAATATTTCAGGAAAAGACATTGCAAAGCAGCAGCAGCTAATCCAGTTCAATATTTAACTGGTCAAAGCAAATGCTGTCTGGCTTAGAAGTTCTGGTCCCAGTAAACTGAGCCACTCTTCAGCATTAACATTTATCACCACCTTTTCAAAATCTGGATCCCTGAAATTCTGTCTTGCTATTTTCTATTCATTGAAGTCAGCACCAAAGTCAGTGCTGAAATTTGAATGTATTGTCTGCTCCTCACACACAACCTAATGAAACATAAATCCTGTTTTAACAGATATTACCTGCCATTAATGTATAACAAGCAGGTGAGGTTAGGAAAACATTTATTTTAAATTCTTTCTTACTGGATGCAGACATCAGCAGAACAGCAACGGAGCAAATGAATCAAAAACTGCCCTATGAATTTGTGTGTCCTTTTACGTGTTCCTAGCGTATGTAACCACATTGTATGAAGAAAAATGCATGTTGATACTTGATGATTATGACTTGTGATTTTTTAGTTTTATGCATCAACCACTGAAAATATTAGCTTTAATGAACTGTTGTCCAATGAGTTTTATCATTTCTTTATGAACTTGGGTCAGGTTTGCACCACATAGGTTTTCAAAACCTGAGACTATGTTATTTTAATAAGCTTACTTTGTAAATCATACATTTATCCAATAAAGATTAATGGTTACAAAACTATCACTCGTTTGTTCATATCCACATTTACCAAAGACCTTGCCATTTGGAGACTATAAAGATATTCTTAATATGCTTTTTCTAGGCATTCATTTTGCTACTGAATGGAAGAAAGACAGCATTAAGGGTTAAAATATATTTATTTTACATATATACATATACATATACACACACATATATACATAAAATCTAAATCCTCAAGGTTTTCTTTGGGGACTTAATTTTCCTTTATGATATGGCCATTTTAATCCATTTTGGTCAGAATAAAGCACTTAGAAACTGTGAGACATACACTCATTTTCAGCTCCTTTACATTATCCCTTTTAATGGTCATAATATAAAAGAAAGTAGTGTTTTACCATACCTGTTTTGAGTTGTTTTCACAAGTTGTGTTCAACTTGGCCTGCTAAGAGTGGAAAGTGACTAAGAATTATCATAAAAGCACTTGATAACTGAAAAGCAGTATGGTCTCAGTCCCCAGATTAAAGCTAAAGAGTTTTTTGCATCAAGGTTAAAACTTTCTAGGTTTTGTATGAAATTTCTACAGTCTTTTCTCTGCAAAATTATTGCACAATCTCTGCTGACTGAGTGTTGTAACACTTAAATAAATGGTTAACTTACACATAAATTTCAAGATCCTTCAAAATATAGCAGCTGATGTGAATATCTGTGTATGTTTGTTCCTGTTCCTCAACATTAACAAGCTTTATATTCAGTAAGTCATGTGGAATGTATGGGGTTTTTTCTCAGAAATGTTCACAAAATTTAGTCATCTTTCCATTGCTCCTGATAGTTGAAAGCCTCTTGCTTAGCAGATCCTCAAGGCAAAATGTCCTCTCTCAGAGACTTTTATCCTCTGTTATAAAATAAGTGGTATCTTATAACTTTTGTTATGACTGAGAAGCCTTCCGGCCACTGAAAAGCTGCAATTTGGAGTATATTTAATGGCTTTTTGTCTTTGCTAAGATGAATCTATATCACTCCCACTCCCTGAGCTTCTAGATTTAACCAAAACTTGGCAAGACCTGAAAGCCCTTGCCTGCCATGAGGGCTGTGGTTTGGTGGGTGATGTCCTGTCTCTGTGGTGGGAGCTGGCAGCCTGGCAGGAGAAAACACTTCCTAACACAGAGCCAAGCTGAGCTCTGCTCTCTGTGAAACACCACCCTCCACTCCTGGTCCTCCCTTCCCCCAGAGCTCCAGGGACTGCTGTCCTTACCTGTGACATCTTTGCAATGTAGCAATTCTCATCTCCAGCTGCATCAAGAGCATAAAGTGCTGTGTTTTGCAGAACAGATGTGTGTGTGGGTGGAGGGGTGCTGGGTGGACTCCCTTGGTAGGGGTAAAACACAACTTCTGTGCAAGAAATACATGAACCAGAATGAAACCAAACTGAGGGAAAGCATCATAGGGCTGGGTCCCAGTTTCACGAGTGGTGTTCAAAGAAAGCAGAAAGTAGTTTAATTAGAAATCTTTGAGAAAAAAAAGAGTCTGTGGTTTTAGTTTCAGAGGCTAATCCGTGGCCTGAGGGTGACCGAGTCGATTCTGAAGAAGCAATTTAGATTGACAGTAGTTTGCAGCCTCAGTCCCACTGGAAACCTTGTGAGCCAGATGGAAGGCTTTAAATAAAGAAATATTTTTCTACAGAGAAAATAAGGAACACAACTTTTCACTTAGATCTTTCATCTTTCCCTTTCTTTCACTGTGTCCTACATTATATCCTGCTGTTTTCTGAAGCAGTTTTTAATAAAAGTGTTTTTGAATTAAAACTTTTTTGCCTCCTACTTAGTTCATATAATTAAACTTACTTTTTTTGTGCTCAGAACTTTAAAAAAAATTCACACAAGGACAAAACCTGCAGGGAGTCACTGAGTAGTGTGTGAAAAGGCCCATAGTTGTTCATTTTGGTGAATCAGTAGCAAAGTTTCTCTAGTTTGAAGTTAGTTCCGCTTCAGCAACCAAAGGAAATAAAAACTGAGTGATCGGTTCTGATTTAAAAATGTGAGGTAAAAAAAGGAAGCGTGCAAAACTGTTCTCCAGGCTGGTTGTCATACTCAGATGCCAGTGAAGAAAGACACAAAATCTAGAACATATCTTCATAAATTAAAAGAACTTGGTAGAATGTGCACTTCTTAGTATGACCAGGTTCCCTCTTACACCAAAGGGTGAGAGTTCCTTTAGTCCTTGGGCCAAACCACACAGTTATAGCAGGACTTTGAGCATCTGCAGTACCATTAATTTTCACTATCTCTTTCCTTGAGGGAATTATGCAGAACAGGAGTAGTAGTAGCAGAAAACAGCCATACTTCCCAAGCCTCATCATCTGGCCCTCTGGTTAAATTGATATGAAAAACCAAAGCAGCGTCAGAGTCTATTCTTTGTTCCAGAGTTACCATCTGCCTATGCTGATGAGGCTTAATTAAACTCTCTCAGCCTCTGTACCAGGGTGTCTGTTTGCAAAACTGTCTGTTGGGACTCATCTCTGGCTTGTGTTAACTCTGAAGTAGTACTTAAGAAGTTGGGCAGATACTCCTTGTCATGGGCTAAAGGCATTCACTGGACCATTATGCTAATGCAGCTGCATAATCCATCCATTTCACTAACACAACAATACAATCCAGCAGCTCCCAGACATGGAAAGCATTGTTGCTGTTTAATTCACTAGTACTAGTGTTCCTGAGTGCCTTTAAGGCTGCACAAGGACTGGCAACAGGTGTGGGAAGAGACTATGCTAGCTTCTTGATATTGCATGTTCCTCCCAAAACAAGTAACTCATTAGGCCACTCTTCTGCTACTGGACGGATGAACTCAGCTGCAGATGGTGGCATGAAGTCAGTAAGGATGACAGTGGGAGAGGCTCAGTGCTGTACATCTCCATGTGGAATGGGACAGACCATCCTCCATGAACACATTCACAGAACAAAAAAACCCACATGGGGCAAGGTTTTATTGAACAAAGAGACTCTTTGCGTTAACCAGTGAAAAATTGAAGAAATGGAATGATATTCTTCTGCTTTTTTGAAAACAATCCATCAGACATAAAAAAAAAAAAAAATCCAAAAAAGAAGTGTTTTTAAAGAATTACATTGCTACAACAAGAACGGAAATAACCATGTTAAAATTATCTTTGACATCTTAGCTTCCATTTCCTGTGAATGTGTCTCACAGTGTGTTCCTTACATCATCCAGTCAGATGCTGCTTCTTGGCCTGTGCAGCAGCAAGTATAGGATGCTTGCTGAATATGGAATTGCCCATACACTGCAATGTGATAGCAAGACACCAATATATAGAAAATCTTCATTCAGTAACTACATCCACAGTTAACGAAGCACGAAAACAGAGCACACTAATATGTAAGAAAGATCAGCAGAATTAAATTAACAGCAGTAACCTCCATTCTACAATAGTTTCTAAGAGCTTTGTTTTCCAATCTTAGCCATTTTTTTGACAAAAAAACACTGCAGGCTCTCACAGTGTAGTAGAGTTGATGAAAATCAAAGAAGTCCATAAGGACTAGAATTTCAGGCCAGGACACTGGAATTCAGAGTTTGTGCTATTCTGCTACATCAAAAGTCCTGGTTCGCGGCTTGAAAGTGCAGGATGAAATTTAATTTCTCTCCTGTTCATTTTTTAAACTACAAATTGCAGAAGTATGGTTGTTTTGAGTAAAATCTTTCAGATACTGCATCACTTCAGATCAATGCTTTCTTCCCTTCAAGACTACCTGCTTCTCAGAATGTTTGCTTTCTCAAATTATTAAAGGCTCACAAAACAAAGAACAGGTATTATGTATGTGCCAACAGGTATTATGTGTGTGCCATAAGGCACACATAAATGGCTCATGGGCAAGATGATGGAACAAGTTCATAAAAATAAGGGTTTCTCAATCCATCGCCCTACCAATGCAGGAGAAATTGTCTTTGATGAATGTGGCAGACATCATTATCTGTCAAGAATGGCTCCCTGGAAGTAAGTTTAGGGTAGAGTGGCCAAGCAGTAGTATATGTGGTGCCCAGCACAGACCTAAAGCTCAGTATACAGGGAAAAAAAATTGTGAATAACCCTAGATTTTCCAGTCTGTACAACAGTGGTTAATAATAAACTCATAGGAAAATATTTATTTTCTCCTGATTACCCAAAATAAGGATTATCTACATAAAGCTACTTGCCATTCTCTTCATCTAAATCATGGAAGAACAGTCACAGCTGTGAATCAAAGGAAAGAAGAGTATTTAGCTTCAGGTACAAGGGTTAAGGTTCAAAGTACAGAAAACACAGTCACAGGCATCAGTAATTTGTTCTCCTACTTTTAACAGAGTATCGGGGGCAAATTTCGGGCACTGTGAAAGTTAATGGCAAAGCTTGTTCACTGCAGCAAGGCCAGATCACCACCTCGATGACTGACTAGAATAAACTACTCAGAAACAGTACTTTTTCTAGGATATGTCAATTTTAATGACAGAGTAGCTTATACAGTCACTTTCTGTGGATGAGACAGAGCTTGTATTTCTAAATCTATAATTCATAATCTCAGATACACAGAGACAGATTTGCAAGCAGCATGGATTCACAGCTACTTTAGAAGAGTATGATGACCTCAGGATAGATTTTTTGACAGCGTGAGATGGGATGTACACTTAAGAGAGTGAGCAGTGATGTGCAAATCTACACTCACACAGAAGCAGAGAAACACAGAAAGGCAAAGAGATGCTTGAAACAGAAGAGTTTATTGAAACTGCAGAGATTAAGGTGCTGCATTTGACAAGCACATTGTACAGGGGACAGTGTGTCACAACAGCACGCAATACGAGGTCAGAAATGTGGAGTACCACCTGCAACATCTTTGTGGATATCAAAAAGTGTTATGAACGGAGCACAGCTTCTATTCAGGCAAAGCATAAATGCAGGCTTTGGGACAGAACAAACATACCTGAAAGCTTTGATAAACTTGGGACACAAAAATACCATCATAAATTCCATGAGAATCTTTAAAGGTCTTAAA